CCTATTGTAACAGGACTGTTCTACTGGACTGGGACTGTAGCTCCTATTGTAACAGACTGTTCTACTGGACTGGGACTGGAGCTCCTATTGTAACAGGACTGTTGAACTGTACTGGGACTGTAGCTCCTATTGTAACAGGACTGTTGTAACAGCCCCAGTGCTGGTAAAAGCAGAAGTGAAAGTGTCATCAGCAGCACCAGGAACAAACCAGCAGGGAAATTCAAGCCACTGTTGTCTTCCTGGAGCCGTTTCACTTTGACTCCAAACTGACTAAGCACAGGAGACAGACTGCGAACTGAACGCTGTGAACCTGCCACAGCCTCTCCTGCTTCTCTCTCTCCTTTTATTCAGAGGGAGAGCTGGAGCCCCACTGCAGTGTAGCGCCACCTAGAGCACACTCAGCTGCCATTCTGCTCCTGCTGGTCCAGGGGGAGGAGAGCATCTATCAGAATCACACTGAAGAGGTACTTTGTTTATTAGGGTTTTTCTACACAAACTCATCAATTGAAATCATCCTGCTAATATCACAATTAACTGCCAGCAGTGTGACTTCTTTCAGCTCTTTGTAGCTGATTGCTAGCAATGCTGCTACACTGTGGTATAAGAAATTTAACCAGGAGTGGAATTCAGCTTGCAAATATTTTCTACTTGGACTCACTGCAAACAGAAAGGAGGATGTTAAATAGGAGTCACAGCGCGCACAGATACGGATGACCTCTAACCCCTGCCATCACCAGCAAACCTGCTTGTCGAGTTACAGCAGAAAAGTCACCCCAAGCAATCACCCTGATAAAAGATCAACCAGGACTGACAGAGGGCTTCTAGACTGAACCTGACCGAAAGGACAGAGGCCAAACTGCCATATCGGTTACTCAGCATATTACTGTGAAGAAACCAGTCAGTCAGCACTTCGCTGTGAAGACAACGAGCAAGACATGGGGGAGGAGTTATTTTTATTTTTACAGCTGTGGCTTTGGTTTCATTTTTTGCTCCTAACCAAATGCAAAACTCACTTTGATTAAAATATTCATTTTCCTTGACTGCATCACTGGAAAACAAAGAGCCATTAGGAAATCAGCCCTTCCAAAAAAATCCCCTAACTCTCTCCAGGCAAACCTACTGAGAATCCATGTCCTACAACACCAGCACGCAGCCCCACGAAAGTCTCCAGCAAAACCCTGCCTGTTACTTCCTGGTGTGACAACAGAGCCGCCAGCCCGTCAAGCTCTGTCACGGGCAGCGCCAGGGACGTCCTGCCTGTCCAGCTTGTTTAGGTGCAGCAGAGACGACCGATTAGCGCTAATCTGCTCACTGTGCTCGTGGAAGACCTCAGTCTGCAGCACAGAGTCACGGACGCTGACACACACAGGCGTCAACAGCAGAGGAAGTAGCCGGTTTTGGTTCCTCAGTCTCGATACGTGCAAGAGCCACGTCACTGCTGACACACACCCTGCACTCCCCGAGTCCTGACTCCCGCACACGGGGAGGAGTGACTCAGCCACAGGAGTGCTGGAGCAGGCCAGCACCAGCCTCGCTGTCCACAGCACAGGCTCCCAGGAATGCTGATGGTGGGACAGAATGGGTGGAGCTCCCCGTTGCCGAGCGACAGCCACCATGGATATAGAGGAACAGTGCTGCAGCTTCAGGACAGGCAGCGGGAGAGCGAGAGGGAGACGGGAGACAGGGAAGGACAGAGAAGGGCTGTCGAGCTGCAACGTCTTACCATCAGCTCAGTCTGCAAGCAGAGCACTGACCACAGACCACAGACCGACAGAGACTGGAACTGCATGAGCACAAGCACAGAGATACCGACACGCAGCCCTCAGTGTCCTAATACGGACATTCTGAGACAAGCACACACTCAGCGAGATAAAGTCATCAGAAAATAACGTCTCACTCTAGGAGATTATTAATAGACTGTCCCCAGTGTCAGAGCTGCAGAGATGCACACTTCCAAAAGTAACTGAGCTCCTCTCTGCTGCACATCAAGGCAGGTCTGACGGTGCTCTGCTCCCCATGCTCAGACCTGAAGAGCAGTCACTACAGTAAACTGCAGACTCCACAGCCAAACCACACAGAGTGACTGACAGGCAGCAGGCCAGAGCACAACCAGAGATAATACAGGCACTGAGCAAGCCCCCATCGGAGGCCTGACAGACTGTTCCACTCAGGGGACACAGTGCGGCCTGCGGACCCCCCTCCGTCACCGTCTGCTCCTGTCCCAGATAAACACAGCCACTGGCACAGGGATCCACGCTCTGGGCCTCTGGCTGCAGCCCAGGTGAGCGTGTGGCATCTGTATTTCATCTCTCCTGCTCTTTTACAACATTTAAAAAACGTTCTGCTTTACAACGTTTACAACATCCTGATCCTCCTCTTCCAGCTGACTGACCTCCTAACTGCTACTCTCACACAGATGGTGTAGAGCAGGGCTACCCGAGGCCACTCCAGTACTGTGAGGTTTCCAGCTCCTTTATCGTTATATCGACCCTTCTGATTATGGACTTGGGTGCTGGCTGCAGCGCAAATGTGTGAATGCAGGGTGAGAGGAACTCTGGTTTAATGTGTAACACACAGAGCAGGCTGAGCACGCCCAGGCTGACCGTGTGTGAGAGCAGGCCTGCCGTCGCACAGCCACACCACTGCAGCTCTGCAAGAGGACCCCAGCTGGGCTGACAATCACTTGCGCCTCTTCTGCCTCTAAGTGTTTTGGTTTTGCACAAGGGCCAGCTAATGAACCTGTGAGGCTGGTTAATCATTAGGCAGTGATGGCAGAGGTGCAATAAAGTGCGAATGAGGGGGCAGGGTTCACCCAGGGGTGGGAGCAAGCCGCACGCGCACACTGCTGACACAGGCTCTCCCTCCTGCCCCACCTCGGGAAGAGAGGGCGTGCAGAGACACGGAGGGGGCGACAGCGTTCGTTGCCTGAATTCTGGTCTGCCCTGACCTCCGCCATCGCCCCCAGACACACTGAGTGGTGCCCCTAACTTTACCCAGACTGACAAGCCAGGCCTGGAGACAGGAAGGTAACGGGGGAGACGGGCACGTGGACAGCAACAGCACCGTCAAGCTGCTCCCAGAGGTGCTCAGGCGCGTCAGTCCAGTCATCAGTGAACCCAGGGTCGGGGTGAGCAGGCCTGATGTCCTGATGTCCTGGGTCACAGCCCGCGGACCTGCGCTGGCAGGTGACAGAGCTCCAGTAGAACACAGAGGCTGCAGCTAGTCCTGACAGTCTCGCGCTCGCAGCGGGGTGGGGTGTCATGCTGGTCAAACCCCCCTGCCGGGGCCTCCTGGGGCCACACACGGGCTTTCCCGACTGACAGGTCTGCACACAGCGCCGGCGGATCTGATCAGGCCCACAGCTCCCGCACCAGTGGTTCTGATCAGGCCCACAGCAGGGCCGGCGGTTCTGATCAGGCCCACAGACCCGCGCTCTTACCTTCTTGCGTGTGGAGCTGGTCTTGGACAGGCAGGAGCGCCCCAGGGACAGGTAGCCCCCGATCACCTCGATCTCCTCCACCGCGGGGTAGCGCTTCTTCAGCAGCGCACCCAGCTGGGCGTAGGGCGCCTGGGGCCCCTGGGGCGGCGCAGCCGAGGGCTGGGGCGCAGGGGTGGGCCCCGGGGGCTCCGGCGTGCGCCGCGGCACCACAGTGAAGGTGTTTCCGGAGCGGCGCCGCAGCGCGGGGGGCGTCTCCTCCTCCGACGCCACCACGTCGTCGATGTTGGTGACGGGCAGCCTGTCCGCGCAGGGGTCCTCAGGACAGGGGTCCGCCGGGGGAGGGGACGGGGGTGGGGGGGACCCCGATTCACGCTTGGGGGGCTCCGCAGGGCCTTCCCTGGCATCTGCCCCCGCCTCCTGCGTCAGGGAGGGCAGTGGGGCAGGAGCGGGGGCCGCGGGGGCCCTTGGCACGGCCCGGCGCCGCGGGACGACGGTGAAGGAGTTGCGCGACTGCAGGCGGAGGTTGGCCAGGGCTCGCGCCTGAGCGTCGCCGGCCGGCAGCGCGGAGAGGTCGGGCAGCGGGGAGGGCCGGATCTCAAAGGTGGGGGACAGCGCCCCCTGCCGGGCGGGGGCCGCACTGGCACTGTGGCTCTCCGCCCCCGGCCCCTCCTCCGGGGCACTTGGCACCGTTGGACTTGTGGCGGCCCCCTCCGGGCCCCCGCCGGCCTCCCCCCTCTCGCCCGCGGCGTGCCGGCGGCAGGAAGACACTGGAGGATGTGGCTCCGCCGGCGGGGGCGCTGGGGGCGCTGGGGCCCCCCCGCCCTCCGGCTTGGAAGACTTGGGGCTCTGGAAGACTGCAGCGGGCGGGGGGCAGGGGGGCGCAGGCGTCTTTGGCAACGGGTCTGGCCGGGCTCGGGGCTCCGGGTCCAGGAGCAAGTTCTCCGTGCTGCGGGATTTGGGCTGCAGCTTGCCGTAGTTGCGGTCGAACTTCTGCAGCATGCGGCTCACCCGGCCCGGGGCCAGCCCCGCCTCCCAGCCGGCCTCCTCCGGGCCGGGCCGGCCCAGCGTGCTCAGGTTCTCCTCGCTCCGGCTCAGCGCCGAGTCGTAGACGACCACCTCCCGGGCGCGGATCTCCGTCACGCCGCTGCCCCGGCGGTCCAGCAGGTCGCTCAGCGAGCTGTAGGTGCTCACCGTGCCGTTCTGCTGCAGCCGGTCCCCGGGGGAGGCCTTGCCCCCGCCCGCCTCCGGGAAGTACTCCGGGTCGGACTCGATGATGATGATGTTGTCGGCCCGGATGGTCTTCACGCCGGGCACGTTGCCGTACAGCTCCAGCAGGTGCTGCCCGGGCCGGGCGGTGCTGTCGCGGTCCAGCCGCCGCCGGCGCTCCTTTTCCAGCTTCATGAACGGGTTCTCCTGCAGCGGGCCCAGGCTGTCCTGCAGCACCAGACTCTCGGGCCGCCCGGTGCCGCCGGCCGTCGGGAGGCGCGGCGCGGCGCCTTTGTTCGTCTGCAGCGGTGACAGCTCCGGCCCGGCGGGGATGCTGCGGCGGCTCCCGAAGAGCTGGCTGGCCGAGGCGATGAAGAAGTTCTTGCGAGCCCCCGGGCCGGGCTCCTTCTCGCCGCTGTCGCCCTTCCCCGCCGCGGGCGGGTCGCAGCCGGCCCGGACGGACACGGAGCCGGGCTCGCCGGCACCTGCTCCGCCGCCCTTCGCCTTCCTGCGCTCCAGGATCTCCCGCTTCCAGGCCGGCATCCTCGCCGCGGGCCCCGGGCTGCCCGGGCCGGCCTCTCGGCACACGACCCGCACGTCGCTGCCTGACATGGCGGGGAGGAGGCTGTCTCAAGGAGGGTCTTAACCGGACCGGACCCGAGCTTTCAATCCGCCTTCGCTACCGCTGTACCTGCAGCGCCGAACACGATCCGCTCGCCCCCCGCCGGCTCTCCGTCTCTCGCCCCCCTGCGCCTGTCTGGCTGCTCGCCGCGGCCGCCCCGCCCCCTGCACCTGTCACTCGCAGGGCCCGCCCCGTGACGTGCGCGCCGCGCCCCCTCCGGGGTCTTTTGCGTGCGTCCCCCCCCCCATGACCACGCCCCTTCTATTGTTGAGCTGGGGAAGGGGAGCTGTCAATCAAACACAGTCCACCCCGCCTGCACCATTAACTCTTTGATGAATACCGTCCTGCGTATTTATCTGAACATAAACGATTATTATTTTAATATATATGTATGTACATATAGTTTGACAATCAAGCTCAGGACAGGTTTTTTGTTTCTCGGACTGTTTTATTTGTGTTGAATCGCCTATCCCTGAGGCTGCCCGATCTCTGTACCAGCAGCAGTGAATTCTGCACCTGCCAGAAGCCCATCGCCATCACCACCCCCACGGGTCTCCTGCCCTTCACGCACTGATCCCGGGCACAGCTGGGCCAGGACTGAGCAGCCGAATCACAACCGGCGAAGCCCGATATATACTGGATACATTCCCGGCCTCCCTCGCTGCAATCCCATTTCCACGTGACCGCGCAGAGCGTGCCTTCTCAAAATGCGAAAAGGCTAGTTATATCAGATTTGATTAAAATTAATAATCTATTGCTAAACTGTCACGCCAAACGACGTGTTTAGAATCAGGAACTCCCCCGGTAGCGTGTCTTTTAAGTAAAACAGACCCGTGGAAATTCCACGGGGGTTTCTACTGGTGCGAAATGTCGGCGCTGAGTTATTTTTGACAGACACAAGGCACCAACACAACATGCTGTGTATTCGTCTATGAGTGTACCTTATTTACACGGATTGATAAGCCTTCCTAGCATTGTTTTCAAGTTGGTATTTATTAAACAGCATCTACATGTGACTGGTTTTTAATTTCTGCATAAATATGGGTTGTGAAATTTATCGTATCGTCTAATGGCCGTGGACAGCTGAATTATAAAGTGCATTTACAACCTAAACCTATCTCGAGTCGAAAGTCGCCGTCAGGCAGTATTGCAGTGATTTCTGTACGAACAGGGCGCCCAGCCGGGCTGTTTTTACAAGCGCCTCAGCAGCACAGCAGCCAGATCCCGGAAGGCTGTAAAACTGTCCCACTGTCGCTTCCAGTATCACACGTGTGCTGGAGATCGGATTTGGTTTCTATGAGAGCGAAGTTCAGGCTCTATGAAAGAGCTCCAACCTCATCACCTGAGTGGAGAATTAACCCCGGCGTGCGCGCTCCCGCAAGGGCAATAATGACGAAATTCATACAACAACTGTTTCGCTATCACGCAGTACAAGGAAGGAATCGGAAAGTTATAAAAGTTTGTTTTCAGAACATTCCGCCTGTCAGCTGACACGTGATGGTATGAGTAGGTGAGCTGGGGCTGGGGATCAGGGCAGTAACGCTAACATAAGGGCTACAAACGAGATGAGGCCGTTCAGCCCGTTTGTTGGTCGGTAAGCGATTCAAAGCTCTCATTTACTCTTGACAGAATTCAGGGTTTCAACTTCAGCAACATATCTGGGTAGCCTGTTCCACACTCCCACAGCTCTTTGTGTAAAGACGTGCCTCCTGTTTTCCGTTTTGAATTCACTTCCACGTAGTAAATCTGCCAGTATGTTAGGGTCTAATAATTGCTCAGCAACACCTTGCCCCTTCACTTCCGTGACGCAGGAGCCCAGAATAACTGCACCCGAAGTCTGATTCACCCGGAACACAAAAGGCGGACTATTATCGCCTCTCGGCCAACTCCCCCGTGGGAGCGATTTATTTGTTAGCACCACCCATGTCGTCATAGAAACTGCCAAACCTGTGGCTCAGGCTCAACCTCTATGGCCAAGACGCTCCACCTGGTGGTAAAAGAGGGAAATGCAGGCTAGCCGGGTTCTCCACCCGAGATGCTCAAGACAACATTCATTTCCTAAGCGCTTCAGCCGATTCAGGGTCACCGGGGAGTCCGGGGAACAGGTACCAGCACACAGCCCACAGGAGTGGAGCCTAATGTCTGTTTGCTTCATGGCAAAATATCAAATTAATACATCACTCTTTTCCCTTTCAGCATCTGAAAATGTCCCAAGATAATGTCCATTTCAGACATAACTGGCAGGCTGTGGGTTCAAATCCCAAGTGAGGCTTTGCTCAGGTGGAAGGTGGCTGAAGAGCTCAGTTACCGGAGGAAAAAGGTGTATTTGCAAGAGAACACGATCGTCTTTACTGCCTGAATCTGTAAACACTGCACACACACACAGGGTATAAAGGTTATATTTTTCACGGTTTATTTACAAACTAGCTAGAACAACTAAAACATAAAAAGCAGCAGACAAAATGATCAGGCAGGCAGGGCACACGGTGCACGAGGTGGTCGGACTCTTGCTCCTGGCCATGCAGACAGGACGCTCCCTGGTTCTTCCAGAGCTTGGAGCAAAGCAGCTGGATGGAGATCCGGACGCTGGCAATCCGAGTGGGAGCAGGGCAGGGTGCGGAGCTCAGGAATGAAGGCGCCGCTCCATCGTCCCACACTGCATCGGAGCTTCGCGGCAGCCCAGCACTGTCAAGCACATCACTCAATCGCATGCCTTTAATACCGGGCAGGCTGAGGCAACTCAATTTCCAAGTGTGCCCACTGAAAAGGTGAGGAGAATACAGTACGTACATAGAAAAGATAAGGGGCTCCTCACTGTGTTCATTAATGCCATGAAATGACACCGAGAGTGCAGCCCATTCAAGAAACCACCATCGCCCACCTTCCTCCACAGAGAGGGGAGCCCCTGTCCTCGTGTGAAACAGGACGACTGCTGCAGGCGCTCAGATCCAGGCCAGCGAGACGATCAAGAAGATCAAGGCCCCTCGGGCCCCGGAGTCCCAGCCAATCTGAACGACTCCTGCTGACAGCTGAGCTCGCGGAAGAGCTCGGCCAGTCACCCGTGAGGGCGCCAGTCGGGCTGCCGGGGCAGTCAGTTGACCCGGCAGGCGCGGATCATGAGCAGCTGCAGCAGGATGAAGATGGGGGAGACGATGAGGCCGAACCACAGGTCGCGGGCCTGTTCCTGCTCCGCCAGCTTCTGGCACAGCAGCACCTCGCAGACCAGCTTCAGGCTGAGCACCGTGAGCACCCAGAGCAGCCGCAGCACGGCCAGACGCCGCTCGCCCTCCTGGTACAGCCGGATCGACACGATGGCCGTGAAGTAGGTGCTGAGCCCATCGGCAGCGAACAGCGGCACGAAGACGCCCCACCAGGTCACGCCCGGCGCCAGGCCGTCGGCGTACAGCGCCACCAGCAGGCTGAAGACGAGCAGCGCCGCCAGGTGCAGGAAGAGCTCGAAGGTGGCGAAACCCAGCCACTGCACCAGCTCGCGCAAGGAGAACAGCATCCTTGAAGCACGGCAGCGCACCCCAACCGCCCAGCGCTGCACACCGCAGCCTCTAAGGCACAGCCATGGGGGGGGGAGTGAGTCCTGGGATCTGAACACTCACAGAACCTCAGGCTGTGGCGTCAGGTGTCCTGTTGTTAGTGGCCACGGGGAGCCTGAAGGATGTCAGAGCAGGACCTGCAGTTCAGAGAGACAGACAGAGATTAATGTCGGCTTCGCCTGCTAAAACCCTCTCCCTTCAGCGTCAGAACAATCACAAAACAAGTCAAACAATCACACCTAGTCCACCGGATTGGAAACCTCCAGAAACAGTAAGGCACTATGGAGATCTAATCACAAGGGGACAAGCCTGGCCTGGCAGTCAAGCCAGTAAGGTCTGAACCTTTCATTCGGACATTGTGCACCTGCGTCTGGAAGGGGCTACTTAAAAAGACTTTGGTTCTGTCAGTGTTATAATTTCCAATACGGAGAAACAATAAATATAATATTAGGTTACATATAGAGAATGGAACAAGCTACATAGCTGTGTTATTGAAGGCAACACCCAGGCTTCCTTCCGGAAATGACAGGACGAGATCTTTGCATCAATACGCTACTTCCAAATGGCCTCATTTGTAAATGTTGTGAAGCCACTCAGAAAGCATACAGGTGAGACAGACATCATTGCACGCTGACCAACCACATGAACAGGATGGGCTGAGGTATCCCCACTCATCCGTGCTCTGATCCTGCTCTGCAGCAGTGTTTCAGGGAATCTCTGTGCGAAGGAGCCCAGCTCCCCAGGAGACTGCAGCGTCTCAGGCTGGACAAGGCCCAGAGGCACTTCACATCCCCAACATGCACTGATAATTTGTTACTCAATTCACATCGAATTTACTCCTCTAGCTTTGATTAGTTACAATGAAAGAAATAATTTCATAATATTCTCATCTGAAGTCTTTATGACCCTTGTATTTACTTATGGCTATGAAAACTCCTTTCAGATTATGCCCGTGAAAGCAGTAACCTTGCCTTGACTAAATCCAGGTGAAGCGGGATTAAGTCTTTTTTGACCATTTCCGTTTCTATCGTTGTGAAACATTGCTACATTGCAACGTTATGTCCCATTATACCATACAGTTAGCTACGCAGAGCTCGGGACGCCACCTGCTGTTCCAGAAGCTCATCGTGTCTCACGGCTGCTCGTTGACCTCTATGCCTGAAAGCTGTGCGCTCAGGCCGGTCGGTGCTGTGCGGCGGTTCTGCAGGTCCAGCCCGTCACTACGAGGCCAGACCAGGCTGCCAGCATCCCGGGTGCGGAGCCCAGACTCTCCGTCGGACTCAAAACACTGCCACGCATGACCCGGTCACGCCTGCCAGCATCAGGAGTGGAACAGTTACACCCGAGGCTCCGTCAGCAGCAACACTGACTGCCCCCTCGGCCCAGACGCCTCTCTCCCTGCCCCCTCCAGACCAGCAGGTTCTGCTTCCTCTGCTAACACCCCCGACCCCGGAGCCGGAGCCTACGGACTCCTCAGCGTTAGAGCCCAGAGCCCAGAGCCCAGAGCCCCGGCAGCGAAGCGGCCTCGGACCCGCAGCCGCCTGTTTACCTTCCGCGCGCTCCTCCGCTGCAGCCTCCTCGCGCAGCTCCCCAGCGCGGCTCTCGCGAGAGCACGCGAGACGGCGTTGACACAAACACTGACGATTCAAAACCTCGATACGTCTTTGTTTCAGGATGCAATACAGTCTACTTTTGTACCCTGTTTAAAGAACCCTGCCTTGAAGAATATAATTCACTTTTAGCTGCTGGTTTACCTTATTTTGGCGCTTTCAAACTCGCGTCCTGTGTTAGAGTGAGTCCTCTCTGGTCCACCTTTACTGTTCTAATAATAAGATTATCAATAACAATAAACAATTCTTGATCATCAAATAGACTGGTTTTTCGAGACTGTTAATGGAATATTTAAATAAAACATCTTTTCGAAATCCCTCCTCTAGACTCATGACGTGGGCGTGTCCCGGGGGGTGACGCATGTACGGTGGCCGGACTGAGTCAGTCCGAGTTTCTCTCGACAGACCGCGCAGACACCGATCAGAAGGTGAGACCCCCGTAGGTTTTCTCTCGTAGGTTCTCAATCTTTTGTAGGTTTTGCGTTTCTTTTTGTTTTAAGGGACCGAGCACCTAGATTGACCCAGTGAGCACTTTAAATGATACGTGCGATAGGGTCTCAGGCTGCTGGTGGGCACCGCGGTGTCCGAGGCGCCCTGGCACAGCGCTGGCAAGTTCTCCTCCTGGGCACTGCAGGGAACTTGGCGTGACGCTCTGTCGTCTTTTTATTCTTGTAATTGAATTTGCCAGGTTTAACAAGACCCTCTGACGAGAGACTACTAGACCTTGGCACGGCTACACCTCGTACCCGCCTTAAGTGACTGAGCATGAGGAAGTATTTTTTAGGGAACCATCTTCGGCGAAAACTTTTCTTTTTAGTTCCATGCTTAAGGCGACTTTGGCGGGCTTCGCATTTTTATTAAACGGCTTTCGCTCGGTGTGCGGCGCGCTGTATTTTGCTAGTTTATGTCTTCTTAATTATGTCAGTCCAGTTTGGTCTCCGAAGCGGTTGTGGTTCAGGGGTTCGTTGGTTCAGCTTGAAAAGCCGCTCGGTGGGACCTGCAGGGCATCACACGGGACCGGCTGCGCCACAGAGCCCGAGTCGATCACTATCGGTTTTACACGATCGATAATTGCTGACCGCGTGCTGGTTTTGCTTGTCATGATGTGACTTCCCAAATTAATCTCCGTTTAATTGCAATTCAAAATGTAATTATTTTTCACCTGGGAAATGAAGGGAATTTCATGGTTTTCTAGGCGGTCTGAGTTATGCTGCAGAAGTCCGTTAGGGGGTTATAAAAGCAGGTACTTTGCACAAATATGCAAAACGGCCAGGTTAGCCCAGGCAAATCTCCTCTTACAGTTGTCGCCGTAGTTGTTGAACCAGCGTCCTTGAAGACGGAGTCAGTTGTGTGACACTGTCATGGTTTCATCTCGTTAGGAAAACTCAATGTAAAAAATGTGAAGAGGAGTGAAGGCAGCACAGAGCGGCTCTTCCGTGCTGCTGTCTCAGGGGTCGGGGCTGTGAAACCCCGCTCGCTGCGAGTGGCGCGGCGCTGTCTGGAGTCCTGCATACACGCCTCAGAGC